ATATAGTGATAACAATGAGTCAAGTAAATACAATATTAATCTAATCGACCAACTACATAAGAAAACCATTAAATACCCAAATGAACTATCATTAAATGATAATGTGTGGTGCAATAAAAAACATGTACTATTGAGCTATATGGCGAGAAGGCGTATTTAAACAGCTAGTAAAAAGCAATGTCAAGTGACATTAGGATTATATTTAGATGACATTTATCTCGCCCAGTTTCAAGACCACGTAAGATATCAATAAATAAACATCTCTTTGTCTCTCGCTTAAGCAATAAGTAACAATTGAGAATAAGTAGAGATGACATCGTCGTCATCTGAACTAAACAGCCAACTGATACGGAAAGTTCATAGGCTAAGAGTCAGACTGACCAGAACTTCTGAATGTGGCAAACGCAATTTATGGTCTAACAAGATAGTCACATACAGTTTAAATCACTACAGTAAGCCCCCATTTCCGTATTTTGCATTTTGTGTAGAAGTGTCCCACATCTATAGCGTAGAGGACTATTAAATTATAGAATAAAATACATAATACGATTATGAATGTTTCTTTGTCTTCAACATGGTAAATGATCTATTAAAAATACGCTGTTATACCTTTGGCCTCCTTCAAAATCTAATAATATAATATGTGCTCATTTTGTTTAGATACTTAAAGCTTAATAAAAAGACATGACAAGAAACAATGTATTTGAATTTATGCTTTAATCAAATAAAAATGAAACAGTCACAGTCGCAGATACATCAATACACAATAACAGAATTCATACACAAATAGCTCGCCAAGCGACTTTTGAACTTAGACTCGCGCTCAACATCAAAAAGAAATGTTATGTTCTACTTTAAATTGAAATTTATGATCATATTGTGAATTAATGTGCATGATTTTGTTTAATGCTCATAAATATATTCATAAATGGAAGAATATTTATTGTCATTCTTATTACCAGATAAAGAATGCCTGTCACTTGCCTCTCGCTGTTAACGGAACCCAACTCTGACATTTATCATACACTGTCTTCTATCGCTAGCCTAATACGGTGTCAAGATTACACGGGGAAATTGAAAAGCTTCCGCCGTGTGACACTCCATTCTACTTATTGGTCTTATATTATTTGCTCTGCGGCTTTAATTTCCTACCAAGACCTTCTGTTGCATTTTTCTGTTATTTTGACAAACTTGTAAAATGGTACAGTACTGTACGTATCTGATAGATATGTGATAACCCTTGGCCTCAAAATGCTTTTTTTATGCTATATTTGTTTAGAGATCACTCGTCCTAGTCTTAACCATTCTATCTGCGAAAAGCCAAATAACTGTTTCAATGATCAGAAAGATATTTTCAATTACTGTGTCTGGTTTATTGTTGACATTGCGAATATGACGTTAATTCGTTTAAAAGTTTTTGACTCAGTGAACTCGTCCACATCGTTAACTTCATCTTTTATACTATCTATCAAATTTTCAAAAACGTTACTTTAGCGCATTCACAAATAAATTTAATCAACCTAAACCTAAAGCCTCTACTACATACATAGCTTGTTTACAATTTATGTCCTAATACAATATACTATCTTTAGACACACGTGACGTGAACGTGCGTGAAATATGGAGATGTTCAGTATCGTAAAATTTGCACATTTTTGACAATGTGAAGACAAAAATGAGCATATAATAATAAATACATTGCTGGACCCAGGTTAGTGTGTCTGTTGACCTTTGGATAGAACGCAAACATTTGTGAGCCATATGAAAGATCAAGATCCATCTCTCCTTCGCCAAACCTTCTACTTCGGCCCAGCGTGTATGAGCAAGCGTTATAAACCAGGCCTCCAACAAAAGAAAAGACAGTAAAGCGAAGCGATGCCCTACCTATTACTGTAATTATCGATTTTAATGAAAAGTCGTCTTCCTAAAGAAGACACATGTAGGACATGACTAAGCCACTCTTGGTAAGTTGGTCTTGAAAGCCGGAAAACCACAAAACAAATCGCTCGAATGGTTAGAGCGTCCACCTGTGATGTTGGAGGATGTCGGTTCGAATCCCGACCTATTCATAACATAAACTTATAAAATGGTACATTCAGCTGCCTCGCTAGGCGCTCAGCATTAACTGGTTACTATTAGGACAGATAGACCTGGTATTGGGATAATGTGACTAGATGGAAGATAATGCTACAAGTCTGCTGCATGATACCCCAGTGCTAGACATCACTATAAACTGCGACGCTGTAGACAATATATCGATATGACTGAACTTTTTTAAAGCTAAGTTAAAATCAAATTAACACACGTACGCACACGCGCGCACACACTTACACATACAAACACACACACCAATCAAAAACCTACGTTCATGAAAATAATGATATCTTTGCTAGACTTGTGGATATAAAATTAGTTACGTTCTCATGCTGTTCTTCGAAATAAAAATCTCAAAATCCGCCCAGCACATACATACATACATACATGCATGCATGCATGCATGCATGCATGCATGCATGCATGCATGCATGCATACATACATACATACATACATACATACATACATACATACATACATACATACATACATACATACATACATACATACATACATACATACATACATACATACATGCATACATACATACGTTCTCGGTGCTCTGGGAGGGGTAGTACCTTTAGTGGAGGGACATGTCGTGTTATTTCCGGAGCAACTCGTCCACCTTTGGACTTCCCTTCAAAATCAGGCCAGCCTGCGTCTGGCAAGACCATGTACATCTGATGTCTATACCATCAAAGAAAGAAACTTCTTATTGTTGCGGGGAATATCATTAAGAGAACGTAACAAGACCTCAGAGTAGAACTACCCTTTTTGCTATAGTATCGACACTGCGGCCTTGAGTAAAACAAGATTCGCAAAGGAGAGTTCTCTGACTGAGTTAGGAAATGGCTACAACTGCTTAACAATTTGATGTAGATCCCAAACTTAAGAGTTGTCATATGTTTTGCAGAACATGATACCAAAAATGTTTCACAAATCTAAGGGCGAGGAAAAAAGCACCAAAGCGTGTTTTGTTCTATTTACAGCCTCAACTGAGAGAATATAGGTCGAACATTGCTATATTGTTTTTCTGAAATTTTATTTTGGAGTTTAAAATTCGGAGTTAACCAAAAGAAAGAGTTATACAGTGGAATGTCACTATTGTCATTCTTGAAAAAGCCGCGTGTTTGTTTCTTTTCTGAAAAACGGTTGCTCTGATGTAAGAAATTTTTCCGTGACAGTGTGGTGATAAACTAGGATACAACTAAGATACCTGAATTATACAAGCTCAAGTCAACTAAAGCTTTTATTTCATCCAACAATTTACTGTTGTAAGAAAACAAAATCGTTCTACAAATATTAGGATGTAAGTTTTAGAAAACAAAAATACATGACAAACGGAACAGTTCGCATAATTATGGTGACTATTAATCACAGTTACGGAGGTATCTTCCAACGGGAACAGATGCCATTACAATTCAATTAATATTATGGAGAGAATGTTATTCCTACTTTTGAAAATATCACGACTCTTATGCTTATATGGTAAATTTTCCATACGAAAATTTCAAAAACGTACATCTCATTGAAATAATTACTCCTATAGGAAAAACACTTTTGTCAAATATCACAAGAGTGAATTAGAGACATAGCCTACACAAATCATTCTGTCAGAAACGTAATGTAAAGTTTTCACAGAATAATAAATCCAAACATGCCGTTATGTATTTCGCAAAAAGATTTAAACTTCCATGAGTCATCGATGATACGATTGTTTATGCATTTGTTTTATTGTTTGTAATGTGTCTATGGACAGGTACACATAAAAGCACGTTAGATATTATAGCTGTGTGAATAGCAACTGATACCGATTTGAAGCTAAGGCGGTAGGCAATATCGGTTAGCCAATGAAGTCACTGACAATGAGTGACGCATTGTATGGTTCTGACTTCAAGACAGGCAGTATAGTGGTCAGGCGCAGAAAAAACACGTCTGATCTTGTCACTACGAAGAGAGACTAAAGGAGACTCGAAATTAAGGGGATAAAAATAGGTGTAGCAAATAAAATTGATTCTAACGACTGATGGCTTATTTTTGCTTAGGCTCTTGCATTTTTACCATTGTAGTGTAGACTGACCGGAGTGTGAATTTACAATCGTGTGTTGTGTACCGTAACATTTCTTCTTGCCACGTCAAAAACTTAACTGTGCCATTATTGTTTGCGTTTTGAAACTGACCAAGAGAAAATATTTTCTCACTTTGACATATTGACATACACACATTTGCATAGGTAGAGAGAAATGATATGGTATTGTGTGCTATTTTTAAACTAGTGAGTTAAGGGATTGTATGAAGTAAACTTAAATTAAAGTACAGTGAACCTGATGGATGATGCTTAGTCAGTCCAGTGATCAGGAAAAAAAATATAATCTCTACAATTCAAAGATAAAATGCACCACTACGAACCCGACAACATGTGTACCGAACAACAAAATTCTTTATACATCCAAATGTTTATGTATTAGATAGATAGCGCTTAGACCCCAGAAAAAGGAAGGCCAGAAATTCCGTGTATATATCTAAATAAATGTTTTGTACCAATACAATAGATTTTTCTTATTAGAGTCACTATTCTATCTGTGAGTTTTTCTTTAGACAATATCTGTTCTCTTTTCTGTGTGTTTGGATGCATATTTGTTTAGGTATGTCCCGATCAACCATTTGTCACTATAAATAAATTTTACCCCATAAATAGTTTCACCCTATAAGCTCCATGATGTCATCCATGTTCAAATCCAAATGACCTCCAAGTGATATTCACATATTAGATTCTCATTGACACCAATTATGATATACCCAATTTTAACGTTTAGGTCCCATTGACTTTAAAGTGACTCAATCTCTTGCGGCTATTCCCCATTCACTCCATGTTAAATTTATCAATGTTTAATTACCCTTTACCGCTCCGGTGGCCTTGTGGTTAGCGAGTCCGCCTTGGATGCGGGAGGTCGTGGGTTCAAATCCCGACCGATTCATACCAAATATGTCATACAAGTCTGAGACAAGAAAAAGCAAGTGTTCTATTATTAGAATTACATGATGTGTGGTAATTAGCAATTAGATAAACATTATGTGTAGCATTTTCACTTTTAAGAAACTCTCAGTTGTCAGTCATCTTGAGGTCCCTGGAAATAGGGGAAAACAATAGACCTCAAATAGCTCCTGTGGCCTAGTGGTTAGATCGTCAGCCTCAGATTCGGGAGGTCTTGGGTTCGATTCCCGGTCAAGTCATACCAAATATTTACAAGAAATGGTACTAAAAATTGCCTCTCTTGGCACTCAGCATTAAGAGGTTAGTGTTAGGACTGATCGGACTGGTGTCAGGATGATGTGACTGGGTGGGACATCATGACACATGTCTGCGGCATGATGCCCCAGTGCTTGACGTCACTATAAACTGTCACACTGCAGACATCATAACGATGTGACTGAAAAATTGTAAAAGCCGCGTTAAAAATATAAATCACACACACACACACACACACACACACACACACATAAAATCCCCTTTACGTCAAAGCAGCCCACGAACTTATTGACTGGTATTTCCTTTGACGCTAAAGTGGTCCATCCATTTTACTACTGACGACCTACTGCAACATTATTATTACTATTATTGTTATTATTGTTATTGCTATTATTATTATTATTATTATTATTATTATTATTATTATTATTATTATTATTATTATTATTATTATTATTATTATTATTATTATTATTAAGCACAAACCATCTATCTTCCAGTTTCATTAGTAAAAGGTTGATTTTAATATTCCCAAAAGCAATTATCTCAGAGATAATCTCTCTCTCTCTCTCTCTCTCTCTCTCTCTCTCTCTCTCTCTCTCTCTCTCTCTCTCTCTCTCTCTCTCTCTCTCTCTCTCTCTCTCTCTCTCTCTCTCTAAAAAAAAAACTTTGTTTACCCGTGTACATATTATTCTTTTTATTCTCTCTCTCTCTCTCTCTCTCTCTCTCTCTCTCTCTCTCTCTCTCTCTCTCTCTCTCTCTCTCTCTCTCTCTCTCTCTCTCTCTCTCTCTCTCTCTCTCTCTCTCTCTCTCTCTCTCTCTCTGTTAAAAGACTAAATGCAGACACACTATACTTTATATTGTGGGTACTAACCAGGACACAACATATTAAACAATAAATAAACTTATATTTTATTGCCTGGAAATAGTTTCATTCCAATTAGACAAGGGTACGTTTTGTGCAGGTTTATATAAACGGGCTTTCTAAATCACGTTTGCTACTTAACCTAAAGCAACTGTCAAGAGCTTGAACTCGACTTAAGGTGTTTAGATATTAAGTCTGCTTTCTTTTTAATATAACAACGTTCATTTTAACATTCTTCTCTGGTCAGGAAATCTCCTGGAAGCAAACTGAGCCCCAAACTATTGATTTTGAAAGGAACTATAAGAACGTAAACTAACAATTCAATGGATCAATACGTGTTGTGCTCCAGAGAGAGAGAGAGAGAGAGAGAGAGAGAGAGAGAGAGAGAGAGAGAGAGAGAGAGAGAGAGAGAGAGAGAGAGAGAGAGAGAGAGAGAGAGAGAGAGAGAGAGAGAACAGTGATCATTATATTTCCATATAAATCAAATGGTGAGAGTGCTCTGTATGACTGTTTGTCTAGTTAGATGACCATTGAATTTTGATTAATTATTTTATTCGTTCAAAAGTACCCATGAAATTTATTTCAAAGCTTTTTTCCTTATAGATTCAAAACTCCGTTACACGGGAAACTATGACGTCAAGTGTACATGGTGGGCACAGGGTACAGACCCTGAGTAAATTGATATACTTTTGATGAAGATGTAAATATTTATTGACAGTTGCTGGCAAGTAGTGGGTGGCGGGGGCTTTTGCAAAGGCCGGTCAATACAACTATTGCATTTTTGAAACAAATTATTTGAGTGATACGAAAATTGATTACATTTTAGTGTTATACATCAGCTGTCTGTGTAATGTAATCAGTGTGAGCTGAAGTCTATGCATGTATGTGAGGTCAAGTTATTGCATGAACCAAGATAAAGAAAAAAAAAGTCAAGTCAGCTTCGATTCTGAGGCTTTACTTGTTGGATGATGTAGAATGAAACGCAAATTTTGAGAAGGAAGAATGAGAACATAAAAATAATGAAGTTCTTCGTCGTAAATCGTATTAAGATACTGACTGACCTATTAGAAACGATTTTATTCCGGAGCACAAAGGCTAGAATAAACATGCATTCAAGTTGAACAGAATGACAAAGAAGGTGATCAGGTACAAACGCGTTGTAAAGGCTGATTTTATAGGGGGGAGTGAGTGTTGTTGTTAAGAACTAACACAAAAAAATAATAAATGGATTTAAAGTAAATAGGGATAAATTAAAGATTGGTGAAATTGAAAGTGTTAAAGATGCAGAAAAGGTTGAGACGCGGGAAAGTGAACTGAAGAGTTTCAAAGAAGAGAAAATATAGCAGATAGATAAGAAAACCCCTAATATACGTATCTGAGTATGGCGGAAAAAAGAAAGGGAGAAGATTTGGAAAGAATACTCGGATATGATAAATGCACGAACAGACTTTTCCTTCCAACTTCAATAAATCATAGTAATTCGTCGTTTACAAAATGGAATAGTGAAGGACAAGAATAATATGGTGTCCCTAGACCACTTACTGTGATTGTCAACTATTTGAACACGGAGGGGATAACCATGATTATGAAGAAACGAAATGGCTATTTTTTAGGGAAATGTGTGATCAGGCTTAACGATAATGGGCCGTCTGAGCAAACAAACTTTAACTGACTCATGATGTTAATACAAAATGGTATTACAATTATTAAGTTTTCTTTAACTTCACAACAGCTAAAATTGTAAACGTCTGAACCTTTCTAGCGTGTATCAGACTGTCACAAATAAACTTGAAACTGTCTTTCCGTTAATATTGATGAAACTGATATTTCAAACTTACTATGTATAACTTGTGTCGAGATATGTTTAAGATGTACAGATATGTAGGTGTAGAGGTATAGCTTTAAGTTTTAAATATATGGTGGTAATGTGTGTCACGATGCATTCAAGATACCCATGCATTCTTTTTGTCGTTTTCTTGTTCATTTTTTGTTTCTTTCTGTATTTCTTCGTTTAGATAAGTGGCTTGGTTTCGGATTTTTGCAATGGAATCATGCAGGTTGTTCGACCAGAACGACAGATCGCGCAACGATGTATAATATATACTCGTTTAACTTCATTGCCTGAGTATTTACATAAGCTGTTTGTTTTTACAATATATTTACATAATTATTGGTTGAAATGTTAGGTGTGGACTAATAGTATGTGTGTTATGGGAGGGGGTGTTCAACATTAATATGGAAATGTAACCAGAATTTCTGAACTCACCATTTTTCATTAATTCACCACAGAGACCAAAGAGTTGTAAGATGCTTCTATCACAGACTAGAACTTTGTTCGTGTCGGGAGATTGATTACATTTACCTTTTGGGATGGTACATTTAAGTCTTTTCCACTTTACAAATAGTTAGTTTGACTGGTTTCGATGTTAAAATTTTGTGTTGTTTTATTAAAAAGAAGATAATAAAATAAAGTAAGTTATTATAATGGAAAACAAGTCAAAAGGCTCACCAAATTTTGTTTTCAAGAAACATAGTAGAAAAGAGTATATAAATAACTGAAATAATGTATGAGATAATTAAATTTGACCTTGGAAAAATTATAGCTGTGAATAAAATTCTGGTTTTGAAGTATTTTAAGGAAAAAATACTGGTTGAGTTAGAGATGTCGGTGTAAAAATTCTTTCTTTATTCTTTATAAATAAAATCAAGTGAAAATAACATTCAGTTTGCTAAACAGTTATACTCAAAATGCAGAACCTCCACAGATTTCCATTTGTAGACATTTAAGAAAATATATAGTCTGTAAGTTGTTTTGATAAATGAATAATATGTGCGTGCTAAAGATAGAAAATAGTGATCTTCTCAAAGATGATGTTGTGTTTTGAAAAAAGTGATATTTGGAGACAAATTTATAGCACGGTATGGAAGTTTAGATAGAGAGAAAAATAGTTATTAATGAAATAACCCTTATAGTATTGTCTAATAACTTCAGCTGTTACATATTGTTCGAAAGAGACAAATATTATTTCTTCATGTAGATCAAATAATTTTAACAGTTTACTTGAACTTCAATAATTATATTCCGGTGAGCAAAGCAAGAGATACCGGCACTTTAATGCAAGACGTTGATTGATTTTAAACTGTAACCTAGGTAACTCGGCTTTTGTAGATAGTTACCAAATTGACAATAACCATACGATTTGGGAAAGACAGACAGACGAAAAGGCAGTTGCAAGTAATATAAGCATTACACTCTTAGTATTAAAATGATCGAACGTATTTACAAGTGAGGGAATAATGGGACATTGTAATATTTAAGTAAATAGAAATATTTCGTTGATTTACAGACACCAAGTGAAAGGGGAGGAACCAGTGCTTCTGTGTAACGATGCTTGTTCTTCGATTTACTTCCCCTGACAAGCACACGATTATAGCATGAAGCTGTAATCTTTGTCAAATACCATTAATATGGTCAACTTTTGGCACCGTAACTATCTTATAAAGATAAACCAAAACTGGATAGAAAAACAAGTGGCAAATTATATGGTAACTTGATATTCACGAATGGATGACGGAGGGCACAATTCAGTGCACGCCTACTACACGTCTCTGAACGTTTGGAAACCAACGATCGGAAATCAAAAGAACGAAACTATATCTATGAAGAACGGAACGTATCCTAATGTTAATTTGACTGGATAAAGACAAAAATGGTAACACTGTGAACAGACGTGCTTCAATGAACGAGAAAATAAAATAATTTGGCAGGTCTATGTAATAATGTCATATATTGAATATAATGGAATGATGTGTGCTAAATATTAATGTATTATTAACAAAAATGTACTCATTTTTCGTTACTG